CGCGATAGCGTCGTCGTGTTCATTCCTCGCGCTCGATCTTCGACGAGCACGAGCAAAATCTGCGATTGGCAGAGAGATTATCGATCGATTAATTTAATCGGCGAGGACGCGTGCGAAACGTGATCGAGTTGACAAGACGGTCGCGCGTCAAATGATCGGGGAAGGCGTAATTTAGCCGGCGGGTAAGAATGCCGGAAGGAACGAAAGAGGCGGTTAATAGGAAGAAAAAGAGGAAGGAAGAGAGGAAGAGAGGAAGGAAGGAAGAAAGGAAGGAAGGAAGGAAAGAAGGAAGGAAGGAAGAAAAGATGGAAATGAAAAGACAGAAAGAAAGACGAGAAAGAAGAGGAGTGCGAAGGAGGGCGCGGGGGAGGAGCGGCGTGCGGTTTCGCGCGTGCCACGACGCGTACACCGAACAAAAGAGGGAGAAAAAAATGTCAAAGGAGAGACAGATAGCGCGTTAGCCGTCTCTCGTTCCCTGCTTTCAACGGGCAGAGAATGGCGATTCGTCGATGCTGACCGAGGAAATCGGCAAGGATCACATGTCGCGCACCGTCACAGAGCAAAAGCAACGAACGAAGGAACGAACGTGTGCGTCCAAACGGAGAAAGAGAGACACGTAGAATAGAAGAACCGCGAGTCGTTGGAAAAAGCGGAAACGTCACGATCTTCGGGAGGAGCACGTTGGAGCGCACAGCAGTCCACCGGTGGCCTCTTTCTCCGTCACATACCGTGCGAACTAACCCCCGAAACGTCACGTCACGACTGTGCAGCTGTGTGCCTTCGTCGACGCGGGCGTACGTCGCGGCGCGGCAGCGAGGCCGCACGAAAACGTACGAAAAGCCGGCGATCGCCGGTACGACGAGCGAGAACGACCGACAAGAGGGAGAAAGACGTATCGTCTGACGAAGAAAGACGTCCAGAGAGACACACACGTATAAGCGTGGGGAGGCACACACAGACAGGCACACGAACGGATGGACAGACGGACAGATGGACAGAGTGACACACAGGCAGAGAGGGACAAGAAGAAGCGGGAGGAAAAAAGAGAGCGGGAGGACGAGCTGAGAAAAGATAGGACGGAGGCGTCGGGCAGATTTTGTCGGGAATCGCGAAGTACGCGAGAAGAACGCGTCTCGAATTTTTGCCACCGATCACGTTCTTTTTGCCATACCTACGACGAATGAGTTTTCTACCGATGTACAAAGTAGAAGAGATCGTGCACGCGTATTCGCGGCCGAGGAAAGGTGACGAGGTTTACCTTGCGGCACTTGTCGTGTTAGACACGTCGCTCACGTGCGTTCCGTTCCTCCTGCCCCTCTTTGATCGCGATTCAGAAGCGCATCCTTCGAGCGCAGGCTGCGCCGCTTTTTCACGCGCTCCGCTCCGCGCTTCCTCGCAGGCTGCCGCGTCGAAAAAGGAGCCTCGAAGCGTAGCGACACACGTGTCCCTTGGGTACGATCGCGAGGTCCGCTGCGTGTTATCTCGAAACCGGTGAGCGGAGAGAATCGGCCGTGAAAGTCGGCAACGATGACAACGGCGGCGACGACGATGATGATAGTTGCGGTCGCGCGCGGCAGCGACAATAGCGGTATAGCGCGCGTTGCCTAAAAAGCAACCACTCTTTTCTCTTTTTCTCCTGGTGTCTCACTCGGTCGCGCCGCGCCACACACACGCGCCCGCGTTCGATCTGTGCGAAGACGAGAGGAGAGAAGAGGGTTGTGCCGCGAGAGGATAGGCCTTCAGGCAGCGAGACACGAGGGGAGAAGTCTGGAGCTCTGCTCGGCGATACAACGCCCAAGCAGTGGCACACTACGCGCGCGGGTCGACGTCGTCGCGGAAAGAAAGAAATAAAGAGACAGAAAAGGAGAGAAAGAAATAATATTGGGAGCAGCGAGAAGAGAGAAAGGGACGAAGAACGAGGGGGAGGGGAGGTGTATCGCGTCTTTTAATCCATCATCGTTTTCTCTGTCCGGTTGGCTCGTGTGCCGTAAATCGTTCCCGCGAAATACGAAAACACCGGCAACGCGGCTGTCAGAAGCGGCGATCTCGCGG